AAACTTGGCACGGACAGCTTGTTTAAGCCTAAATAGACTTGTAGGAACAAACGGGACCTCGATTGGATCTCTGGTTAGAAAATTAGAAGGAAAATTGTAAAACACATGACTTAAAAGGCCCGTTCGGGGGTCCAAAATTGCGAAATGACCACCGAAACCACCGTAACTTGGCACGGACAGCTTGTTCAAGCCTAAATAGACTTGTAGGAACAAACAGGACCTCGATTGGATTTCCGGTTAAAAAATTAGAAGAAAAAATGTAAAACACAAGACTTAAAAGGCTCGTTCGGGGGCCGAAATTGCGAAATGACAACCGAAACCACCAAAACTTGGCACGGACAGCTTCTTCAAACCTAAATAGACTTGTAGGAACAAATGGGACCTCGATTGGATTTCCGGTTAGAAAATTAGAAGAAAAAATGTAAAACATAAGACTTAAAAGGCCCGTTCGAGGGCCAAAATTACAAAATTACCACTGAAACCACTGAAACTTGGCACGGGTAGCTTGTTCAAGCCTAAATAGAGTTGTATAAGCAAACAGCACCCGATTGGGCTTCCCGTTACAAAATTAAAATCAAAATTGTGAAGTTCATATCGAGGTTTTTTTTTTTTTGGTCAATCTAATATTGTTTTTTGTTTTTTCGTATGACAGATTGGCAATGGTGGAAAATAGTTTGGGTTGCATCAGAAGATTTGATTTTGTGTTTTTGGAAATATTTTGACATAGGATTTTAGTAAATGATTTATGGATTAAATGTTTAGCATCAAAATATTTGGTGTTGTGTTTTTGCAAATATTTTGACATAGTTTTTCATGTGACAGATTGGCAATGGTGGAAAATAGTTTGGGTTGCATCAGAAGATTTGATTTTGTGTTTTTGGAAATATTTTGACATAGGATTTTGGTAAATGATTTACGGATTAAATGTTTAGCATCAAAATATTTGGTTTTGTATTTTTGAAAATATTTTGACATAGGATTTGGTAATGTATTTATGAGTTTGATGTTAGTAGTTTGTAAGTACTTTGGTATGCATGTTTTAGATTGTCAGAGAATTGTAATTATGTTTATTGGGATTTTTCATAGCTATTAATTTTGAATTAGTATGAATGTCTTGCAGAGCCGTATTATTATTTACATTACATTTGTGTATATATTGTGCACAGAAAAACATGTGTTTTGGATTATTTTGAACAGGAAAATTATTAAAATCAAAATTTGTGTACTGAATTTTTAGTGACAGGTGGTATTTTTGTCGCTGTTAATATATTTGGCGACAACATATTGTTTTTGTCGCTAAAAGTTAGTGGTTATTCCAACAACTTTTAGCAACTAAAACTTACTCGTCGCTAAAAACGTGATTTTTAGCGACCAAATTAATTTTGTCATTAAATATTACTTTTGGTGACGCATTTATTTGTCGCTAAAACTACATAGCCTATCTAAATTTTAACATTTTAGCAACAAATTGTAATTTTATAGCGACAAAATATATAATTTTTGGCGACCAATTTTGCTTGTCGCTAAATGTCTACATACGGTGACAATTTTTGATTTAGTCGCCAATACTTTTAGTGACAGGCCTTTGGCGACAAGTTGTATATTTGTCACCGATTCTTTTGGCGACGGAATTTGTACTTTTGGCGACAAATTTTTGGGTCGCCAAATGTGTTTTTTGTTGTAGTGATAGGGGATGTTACCATTCCTCAGTATTGGTCCCATACTGCTCTTTGGAATTGGCAGGTAAACCCCTCCTCCTACACCAACACAACACCTAGCTAGCTTTAAGTTGAAAAGTTATCCTGCAAAGGAAATCAAATAATAATAAAATGTGAGTTTGGAGATCAAAGTCTCTATTGGGAAGATAATTAATTTATGAAAAATGTTTGGGATCCCACAAAGGAGAATTCCCATGACCCCCATTGATGTATTGACCATTAATGTGTTTGAATTTTTTTTCTATATCTGACAGTCACATGAATGGTCCAGATCATTTTATGGGTTGTGAGAATTATGTTTTGTGAGGATCTCTATTATTATTGTTAATTTATGTAGCGTTGGTCACGTTTGGAGAATGGGGCTATATTATATGAATATAGATCCTCTCCAGCAGTTTTGATCTTGAATGTATCTAACTAATCTTGTATGGGATACCATTCTATATTATCCTCCTTTGGCAGTTAAGCCGAAGTTCTAAATTGATAATTATTAGTTAAAATACACTCAATATTTTATGTTGAGTTTTTAACAAATAATCACTCCTAAGATTGGGGAACCCCTCACACCTAAGATTGGGAACCCCTAGGCGAGTGCCCACTTGATCTTGGCTTTGGCCTCTTTGTAACCCCAAAGAAATATATATATATGTGTGTGTGTGTGTGTGTGTGTGTGTATGTATGACCAAATTCAATGGTCATAAAATTCAAAATGAAATGCATTAATTTTTTTGTGTATTTTTTTATGTGCGCATGAAGTAGTGCCCAACCGGTCTATGTTGAAAAAAAATGGAGATCAAGCCTGTTGGCCAAGCCCAACATAAATTTTTTTACGAGCGCAGGCCGAACAGAGCAGGTCTATGGATCGCCTCTTACTAGTTAATAGGCCAAGTTCGCTGGCTTAGCCCAACAAAGCAAGATTTAAGCCTTATTTTTTCATTAATTTTCTGTTTTTCACATAATATTTTCATAATTTCTGATGGGATCAAGGGCTGGCCCGATGGGCTGCCTCCCACGGGCCAAGATCGTAGGAAAGCTAATGGATGGGCCCATGAGGCGTTGTTAACAATACTCTTATTATATCATTCTGTAATATATATATATATATATATATTTAGAATTAATTGTTTCTATTTTGCAACTTACAAGAAGATAATAATAAAATGATTGATTTCATTTGCTGCCATTGTTTAGGTTTTACCCCTCCTTTATGTAAGAGCTCTTGCATTATGTGCACTGATTTT